ATTGTTAAAGAACCAACGTTTACAGTGTGGAGAGAATGGTGCAGCAGGAAGTGACTAGACCATCCGGCTGACATTAGACAAGCGGTTCTGTTGTCAGGATCAAAATGCAGGTCACATAATGTATCTTCTTCTTCTTCTTAGTAACACAATCTACTTCTGTAACCGGCAGAAATTTCTTGTGGTTCATCCACTTCTGGACTTTAGTTTTTTTCTCTCTCCTAGAACTTGAATTTTGCATACACATTCTTTTCAAAATGTAGCTTATTTATAAGCAGACGCAAGTTTCTCACCTCTCTGGCAGACCCACTTCAACTTCGAAGGAACCACACATAATCAGTTGCCTTTTTACCATATGCTTGTTACGAAGGTAAGCCTCTGTTACTGAGGTGCTGCCAAAGAGCTCCATAATTACGGGTTGATGAGTTCAATCTCAGCTGCGAGCTTGTGCTAGTTCTGACAGAAAGCAATGGCAAAATACTGGATGTAAATTTGCCAAGAAAAACCACACGTCAAAAAATGTTGGGGTTGGTTCTGCAACGTCCTGTAAAGGATAAGCAACTAACTTTTTGTTATGAGGCAGGGGGCCTATTCTTTTTTTCTAGCAAAATGGGGCCAAAAAATCCACAGGGGGCCCATAATGTAAGAAGCTGACTCCTTAAAAACTCAGGCATGTTCCCTTTTCTTCATGGACTGTTTTCCTTTAAAAACAAGTTCTATCATAATGAACAGAGGAAACATAAACACATGTACTGTCTGACTAACCTTTCTTCTTTCCTTATGAGCTTTGCCAATACCAAGTCTGGGGAGAAAGAGACAAGTCATAAACAGGCAGGATGAGGGAGACAGAATGAACGAACAAACAAACTGTTTTCAAAGGGTTAATAATTGGACACACAGGTCTGTCTTACATTCTATCCAGAGAAAGAGACAGAGAAGAGAAAGAGACAGACAGATAGAGAGAGAGAGAGAAAGAAAGAGTGGCAGAGGAGATAGAGAGCAAGCCAAGCAATAAACAGACAAATTCATTTTTCTGATCATGCTCAAATAAGTTTTATGTATAAACATTTTGTGTACAGCTGAAATCACTGTAAAAACATATATATTAACATCTGGTGTCGTTGTCCACACAAATTATGCCATCAATGACGCCACACACCAATGCCCTCACACATCACTGCTGTCAATGACGACACACATCAATAATGTCAATGACCTCACCCATCACTGGGTCAATGTCCCCGCACACCTGCAACAATCTGACAAGAACACACCCAGACAAAACAACCTGAAAACCAAAACAACACACAGGTAGGTGAGTGAACACATCAGATGACAGACTCACCTGGGCCGGCCCCTTGTTTAAACCCTCGAGCATGAGGCAAGCCTTGCAGATGTCGTTGCTGGAGATGGCTGTTTATTAGAAAATCTACCTTGATGTTCAGATTTTTTTAAATGTCTGTATGTCTTTCCTTCTTTGTCCAAGATATTCTGAGAATCTTTCTGTAGCATTTCAACTCAAAAGCCATGTTAATTGTGAGCTCCATGCTGGTGCTTAACCATTAATGTTTTAATGCTGTTTAATCTTTGCATTGCTAAGGCCATCCTCCTTTTGATTTCTGTCAGTCTCTATTGCTATTTATTAGAAGCAATGTACAGATATTATAAACACAGCCATTTAGACATGATACAAACTACATAGAGATATCATATAAACATATAACTGGCACAGGGTGAAAGGTCAGACACATATACTACAGCAACATACAGATGTTTTCCTGTCCAATATGGAGGACTAGACACTGCAGAATGTTTAGCTTCGCAGTAATTTTTGCTTCTGACAGCGCTTTGCAAATTCCACACATGAATGAAAGTCTACATTTTTTCTGCCTAAGCTACCGAGTTAAGTGCTTGGTGCAGCACTGTGAGTTGTGTTTTTTCACCTGGAATGCCTTTCATGTGTGCAGCGGTTGAGTCATGGTATTCAACGGCCGGTAACCAGTTTACATGTGGGCTGGCAAAATACCTTATGCAATAGTTTTACATGTGTATAGCCAACTTATCGTGACAGACTACTCCCATTACTAACAAACTGCATTTCTGGTGGCAACTGTTGGCTTTGGCACCTTCAGCAACTGCCTTATGCATTTACTACGTGTGCATATTTCTGGATTGTGCTGGGACTAACTGCCTTCATTGTTTGTTCACCAGTTATTTGAATGAGACTGTTAGGGACATTTCATTTGATTTTCACTTGGAACAGAAATGGGGCAAATATGAGGTAACTCAACTGCAGTGAAATTGAAACCTCAATTAAGACTAAGACCATTGTAAACAAAGAAGACACAAACAATAGATTGCACAATTTATTGCCTGACATATTTTGCTGTATCTTGTCAGGTGCAAACTACAGTAACAATTACATAAATGAAGCAAGTAAGTGAATCCTTTATAACTGAAGTACAAATTCAGTTGCATTTGATCGGGCATGGAGGCTGCGTGGTCTCGAGGCATGGTGTCCGCCTCGAGTGCTAGAGGTTCTGGGTTCAATTCCCAGTAAGGGGTGGGATTTTTTTTCATGTGGCCTTGGACTTCTAGTAATTCCCCCTGGTCTCTGGGTAGTAAGATCGGGTGCCGGTGTGCATTGTTGCGCAAGTAAAAAAAAATCCCTTGGCAGTTTGAAATTGAAAAGAACAGCCTAATGGTGCTGCGAGGGCAAAATTTTGAGTTTAAAATCTACCCAAAGTATTTCAGGATCCTCACTGGTGCTACAGAGCTTGTGCATTGTGCTGAGCTTCTTCAGGCTCAGACTCATTATCGGATTTTTTTCTTTCAGTGAAACAGAATACCAAATACAGCAGGCATAAAGGATCTCACAGAAAATATAATTTGCAGTGAAAAAGGTGTTTTGCATCTTACCTAAAGCCCTCCCCTTCTTATTCATCCTAAGTCTCTAATTCTCCTTTCCCTGTGATTTTTGGTCTTTGCCTCCTTTTTTTCTTTGGCCCTGTGGGTTTTAGTCCAATGATAGTCTTTTCTTCACTTCTTGTTTTACTGGAAGAGGTGAGGCAGCCAGTTAATTTCCTCATTAGCATGCTTCTAAGTAAAGGTAAAGGTTCCTGTTGAGTATAAAGGTCTAGAACTATATTTTTATAGACCAATCGGCACTTGGTTGGTGATGTGGTCAGCATCACGCCTGCCACCTTTACTTCCCAGGACTGCACCTGGTAGCCACTCATGGCTGGGTAAACCTTATTAGCATACTTCACAAAATTGAAACTGGCCTCCAAATTGGGTTGCAGCACTTGATAAGACTCAGAGCAGGAGCCTACTTTTCTATCCAGAATCTTAGGGTGTGCAGGGTAATGAGCAGGCTGAGAGATTGGCTGCTGCTGCTCCTCTAGGCGGTGATCTACATTATGGTAAAGCAGATGTGATGAAAGCTCTCTGGGATCAAACGGACAGTGAAATAGAGGGGACGATATTCAACACTGAGGGGAAAACATAGGCAAACTTTTAATCAGGTCCCAACTGGTACTATTAGCAGTCGACTCTTTGCTGGTTAGAAAGGAGATGGAGCACGTGTGAGACTGTCCCTAGTGCACTGATGTCAATTCATGATCCATTCATTCAATCACTCTCAGACATTTATAAAAACAGTGCTGCATAGAAACTGCCTTGTTTTATACATGTAAAACATAGACAATAAGAAGATAAGCTAAAAACATTTTCTTGTGGTACAGATGTGGTTTTTGATAAGAATGCAAAGAAGATATATTAGAAATTAAAAAACTAATGAGGCACCGCTCCTCCAGACTGATGGAAACCAAACCGTTCAGAATAATTAAAAATGAATGATTTACAGCACAAGAATGGAGATGTGATTTGTAGTGAACTATTTTCTCCTTGATAAGAGTGACTGGAGCCAAAGTGAATAGTACAGAGTCATTGCATGATTAATGACCTGTAAGTGGCAGCAATGGTATTCTTTATGAGTTGGTGTGTGGTAGTGGAGGAGTACTTAATGTCTTGATGTGTGGGAGTGGAGGGGAACTTAATGTCTTGATGTGTGGGAGTGGAGGGGTACTTAATGTCTTGATGTGTGGGAGTGGAGGGGTACTTAATGTCTTGATGTGTGGGAGTAAAGGGGTACTTAATGTCTTGATGTGTGGGAGTGGAGCTGTTTCCTAGTTTTGTTTTGATCATTGGGAGTAGAGGGGTACTTAATGTCTTGATGTTGTGGGCTTAAACTTCTAATTAACGTCATGTGATGTGGTAGTCAGTGGATTCCAACCTTCTGTCTTGATGTGTGGGAAGGAGTACTTAACGATCTTGATGTGTGGGAGTGGAGGGGTACCTAATGTCTTGATCCTTGTAGTCTCCTTCTGCCTCTTTTTCCCCTTAATGTCCTCACCGTCATGAGTAAAGGAGTTTTCTCCTTAATGACATGATGTGTGGGAGTAAAGGAGTAAATAATCTCCTTCTGATGTGGCAATGGAGGTTCTCTTAATGTCTTCAGTGTGTTTCAAGTGGAGGGGTTCATTAATCTCTTAATGTGTCTAGGGGAGTAAATCATTTGTTTCTTAAAATATCATGGGAGCTGTGTGGTAGTGGAGGAGTGGTGTCTGCCTCAAGTGCTGGGAGTGGTTCAGGGGAACGATGAATGTCTTGATTTTCTTATGCAGGAGTACTAATGTCTTGATGTGTGGGAGTAAAGGAGTACTTAACATCTGACGCCCATGTGTACTCTTAGGGGAAAAAAATGTCTTGATGTGGCAGTGTTGGAAATCGAAAAAGTATAGACTAACAGTGCTTGAAGGAGGCAAAATGTCTTGATGTGTGGAACTGCCTGAAGGAATTTCAGGATCTCCCCGGTGCTACGGAGTTCGTGTACTGCACTGAGATTTTTTGGAGTGGAGGCTTTGGTTACTACCCTTGTGCCATGATGTTACCTGTTGAAGCAGATCACCTCAGCTTCCAAACCATTTCTTCTAGCTGTCAACTTCTAACCACGCCATGTGACCTGGTCGGATGTTTCTCCAGATCCTTGATGTAAGTTTGGCAAAGCCTCTGAAACAAACAAACCAGTCAATGAGGTGTCACTGTTTGAGAGAAGAATGCATAAACAAAAACGATTTCATGCTTCACACTCTACTCCATGTTAGTGTTCTTACCTCGATTACAAAAAAAGTGTGAATGGACATCGTGGCATGTAAAATGCTCTTTGATGCAACACTCAGCCTGTCTTTATTTTTCTGTATTTGTTGACCATTTGATCCCTCTATATCTGTGTATTTGCTGATGGCTAGTCCTTCTGTATCTCTGCATTTCTTGAATGGTTGGTCACTCTAATTCTTTTTGTATTTGTTTATCGTTTCATCCCCTATATCTGTGTATTTGTTGATGTTTTGATCCCTCTGTATGTGTGTATTTGTTGATGTTTGATCCCTTTGTATGTGTGTATTTGATGATGGTTGGTCCTTCTTTATTTCTGTATTGTTGACTGTTTAATCTCTATGGGCTCTTTATATTTGTTGACCGGCTGGCCCCTCTATATTTTTGTATATGTTGATGGTTGGCCCCTTTATATTTCTGCATTTGTTGACAGGTGGGTCCCTCTAAATTTCTGCATTTGTTTGGTCTCTCCAGATCTGCATCTGTCTGGTCCTTTCAGATTCTGCATTTATTTGGTCCTTCAGCTTCTGCATTTATTGACTTTTGGTCCCTCCAGATTCTGCATTTATTTGGTCCCTTCAGCTTCTGCATTTATTGAAACAGTCCCTCCAGATTCTGCATTTGTTCTGGTCCCTTCAGCTTCTGCATTTATTGACTTTTGGTCCCTCCAGATTCTGCATTTATTTGGTCCCTTCAGCTTCTGCATTTATTGACTTTTTGGTCCCTCCAGATTCTGCAATTGTTTGGTCCTTCCAGATTCTGCATTGTTGGGTCCCCTCCAGATTCTGTATTTATTTGGTCCCTCCAGATTCTGCATTGTTTGGTCCCTTCAGATTCTTGCATTTGTTTGGTCCCTCCAGATTCTGAATTTGTTTGGTCCCTTCAGATTCTGCATTTGTTGACTTTTAGTCCCTCCAGATCTGCATTTATTTGGTCCCTTCAGATTCTGCATTTGTTGACTTTTGGTTCCTCCAGATTCTGCATTTGTTTGTTCCCTACAGATTCTGCATTTGTTTGGTCCTTCAGATTCTGCAATTGTTGACTTTTGGTCCCTCCATATTCTGCACTTGTTGCACTTGCATTTCGGTCCCTTCAGATTCTGCATTTGTTTATGTCCCTTCAGATTCTGCATCTGTATCTGTGTTAGACTGCTGGGTCCCTTCTAGGTTCTGAAAAATTTGTTGACCGTTGGTCCCTCCTCTATATCTCTGTATTTCTTGATTTTGGTCCCTCCAGATTCTGTAATTTGTGATCTTTTGCTCCCTCAGATTCTGCATTTGTTTGGTCCTCCCTTCAGATTCTGTATTTGTTTGGTTCCTTCAGATTCTGCTATGACTTTTTGGTCCCTCAGATTTGATGGTTTGTTCCCTTTATCTGCATTTGTTCTGTCCCATTTAGATTCTGATTTATTGGGTCCCTTCAGATTCTGCATTTGTTGTTGGTCCTTCCAGATTTGCATTTGTTTTTTGGTCCCTGCAGATCTTGCATTTGTTTGGTCCCTTCAGATTCTGCATTTGTTGACTATTTTGGTCCCTCCAGATTTCTGCATTTCCTGACTATTTGGTCCCTCCAGATTTCTGCATTTGTTGACTATTTGGTCCCTCCAGATTTCTGCATTTCCTGACTATTTGGTCCCTCCAGATTTCTGCATTTGTTGACTATTTGGTCCCTCCAGATTTCTGCATTTGTTGACTAGTTAGTCCCTCCAGATTTATGCATTTGTTGACTATTTAGTCCCTCCAGATTTCTGCATTTGTCGACTGTTTGGTCCCTCCAGATTTCTGCATTTGTTGACTATTTAGTCCCTCCAGATTACTGCAGTTGTTGACTGTTTTGTATCTAGTATTTTTGATTTCTCTTCATCTCCTTTGACAAGTACAGCCTTGTTCCTTGTATTCACCCAGCATCTGCTTTCTTTTGGATGAAGTGTGAATATTATAAACAATTACAATCAACCAAAAAGACAAAACGAGGGTTTTCAAAATATTACCATTTATAAACACATGGCTCCAGGTAAGAAAGCCTGCAAATGATGGCTTTATATACTAAAGACTCATTTTGTAAGGGATAAGGAAGCAGTTGAATAATAATAACACAAACATTTCAATAAAATGTAGAACACAAAGATCAAAACCAACTATACAACATCACAAAACTAAACGTACAACATCACAAAAACCAAATGTAAAACATCACAAAACCAAATGTAAAACATCATAAAACCAAATGTAAAACATCACGAAACCAAATGTACAACTTCACAAAACCAACTATACATTACAAAACCATATGTTCAACATCACAAAAGCCAAATGTACTACATCACTAGAAACTAAATATACAATATTCCAAAAAACAAAATTAACAAAATCACAAAAACCAAAATGTACAACATCGCAAGAAATGTACATCACAACCAAAAGTGCAACAGCACAAACACACAACATTTAAAAAAAATCAATTTACCATAGCAAAAATGCTGAAATCAAATGTTTATCACCAATACTCCTAAAACCAAAATGTACAATATCACAAAAAGCTAATAAACAACAGCAAACACACTGAAACAAAAAGCTAATAAACAACAGCACTGAAACAAAAATGTACTTTAGCTGTGGGTTCCAAGGCCCATTTTTAAAGGTTAAAAGAATGGATCCACTGCCCCCCTCCCCTCACCCCCTCCTTCCTCAAGCATGTTGTAAAAGTCTAATAAGGTGTTGATCCTCTAAGGTCAGAGTACATCTGTCTGAGTGGCAAGGAACCATCAGTCTGCATACAAATAAGCCAGATCTGTAAAATGGATTTGCATGTAAAACTCAATTCTAGAACAAAACTTAAGTATAAACTCTTTGAGTCCCAGGAAATGCATCACGCGCTAATTTGTTTCAACAGTGTCGGCCAATCGACGCATGACAAGTGAAGGTTTTTAATCTACCACTGACAGGTTATAAAACGCGGACCGCCCAATTTCAACTTTCTTCTGAGTTCTTTGTGTCTGATATCAAGCGTGCTTATTTAGAAACGTGGGTTGAAAGCCTAAAATATAGTATATTTGCGAGATTCGCCTAGTTACTAAGTGTTTGTTTGAAAAGAATATGGCCGCCAAGCAGTATTCTATGTGGATGCCAACATGAATTACGGCCTCAGAAGCCTAAAATTTAAATAAAGTACGTGTTTTTTTAGATTCATTCGAAGTTAGATAAAGTTGCGAAATAGACGTGTTTCAGTCATTTAGAGTCAAACTTTGATAAGGGATATGTCTAATGTGTACCTCATGCGATGGGTACAACAATAGCAAAGTCAGCTGGCACAAATAGAATAAACATTAGTGAAAAAACAATTTTCTTCAGCGTAATTTAGTTCTAGTGCTATTCCCCTGATTATTTAGGAACATAGCTACAAAATTACAGGCAAACTGAGTGTTATTTAAACTCTGTTTTGTGTGAAGATACTTATTGTTTTGAGAGTCACTTTTCTTTACCAAAAAATGGTGCTGTTATGATGCTTCAAAAGATTCTCTGGAACCAAATCTAATGTATTAATTGAGTTTATATTTTACTTATACATCACTTAGTGGTTCATATTCATTTGTGATTCATTTTGGATACAATTTAACCAGTTTTCCTTGGGTGTCAAGGTGGTAAGTGACATTTTTTAAATTTCATTTTACTAATTTTTGTAAACATACAGTCAGTTTATTTACTAATATTTTATTACTAACGCAATTATTTGTTGTAGCTGTCTTCTTAAATTATTCCTCAACAATCCCTGGTCACTTTTATGTATAATATGTGTATGTTGCGCGACAACTGAATAAGTCTGGTCTGTTTTAATGTGCTACACCTATGAAATAAAAAAAACTGCATTACCACCCCTTGGGTCTCTGATGCTAAACCCCCTGGGACTCAAAGAGTTAAGTCTAAAACTGGATGACAACAAAAACTTTCTGCTGGGGTTTACAGCTGGTAAACGTGAAGATGAAGAATCCAAATGTACAACAGCTTAAAAAATTGTGACACCACCCCCCCCCCCCCCCCCCCCCAAAAAAAAAACATATATCAAAGGCGATGCTCACATGAACACAAGACTACAACAGCCAAAGAACATACAAAGGAAAGTCTACGAGAACTGACCTGTAAGCATTTGGTGAGTAGATGCATTCTGTGGAGAAGTAATCCAGCTTCTTGAAGTAGGCATACCTGTTGAAGAAACACAGTCCACCCATGTACTCAATCCATACCAGAATGAGGACATTCTCATCAACTATTTCCATCAGTTTTAATGCTGTTGCCCCTTTTTCAGCTTTCCAGATGATAGTGTTATACAGAGCTAGAGACAGACATGCCAATCACAGCCCATAATACCAACTAAGGCCAAAAATCAAGTTCCTCCGCTCTACAGCACAAAGCCCGGGCAGTACTGCAGTGACGATGTTTTGCCTACTGCAGCATGATCCCTCACGTGGCCAGCCTTGTTTACTCCAAAGATAATGATTCAGCATTACAGAAAATCAGCAACCAGTATTCTGATACACTAATATTCCAGCATGTCCCATGTGTGGGTTCTGGGACCCCGGTAGTGGGTGGGAAGGGAGGGGGGAAATAGAGACTCACCGTTCATCCTAGAAAGCATGTTGTAAAACAGGGCTTTTCAAAATGCGGCCCGCGGATGAAATTTGATGCACAGAGGACAAACAAAGAGCCCACGGAGGCCTAACAACTGTCAGTTGTACTGTGTTAATCACCTTTCTATGTTTAGGGTCGTGACAATCCCCATTTTCATAATTTCGGCCCCTGAGTAGACTTAGTTTAAAAGCCCTGTCGTGCAAGGTGTCTGCCGAAATCACAAGTGTAGAGCCATGTGATGAAAAAAAGAGCACCGGAAAATATTGACAACTGGAAAGATCACTGATAGAAGAGACAGACCAAGAGAAATGGTGATGGAGACGGAAATATGGACAGACATGGAGGATAATTAGCAGTGGAACTGATCCAGAACACCAAAGACTGAGATCTGTGGAGATGTATGAATACCTACACCAGCGGGCAAGGCACTTGATGATGATGATGATGGGGGTCAAAGCTTGTAGATATTGTAACTAAGCCATAAACCATTATTGTGCCAACCGCCCTTTTAAGGGTGAACAGAAAAAAAGTCAGTATTTTATAAATTTAACCACTGAGCATTTTGATGAACACAGCAAAGAGCAAAATGACCAAATCAGCAATCATAAATGCCCATGCTCTGATGAATCTCTACCTCCAATTCTATTGGATGTATATTAATCAGAAACTGTCACACTGTAAAAAAGGTCATCATTATAGATGACAGGATCAATCGTCACAACACCAAGTTTTATCAAAACTGGTTTGTCTTTTTGGCCAGCTGGAGAGCCCAAACTCCACAGATCCAATAATGACCTTAAAGCAGTGGTTCTCAACCTTCCCAATGCTGCAACCCTTCAACACAGTTCCTCATGTTGTGCTGACCCCCAACCATAAACAATTTTCGTTGCTACTTCATATCTTCAGTGTTTTCCGATGGTCTTAGATGACCCCTGTGAAAGGGTCGTTCGACCCCCAAAGGTTGAGAACCGCTGCCCTAAGGGATCTCAAAGATTATAACATACAGGACTCAAACAATGTAGTCCCAGAAAGAGAGACAAAGTTCAATACAGAAAGACTTCTGCCCAATATAGTCTTCCCACCAAATTCTTAAACCTGTTCCTTAGGTGGTGGTTCTAGTTACGGTCTGCTACCACAAATAATGTCACTGTACACTAGGCATTCCCATGTGTGCTCAGTCCTCGACTGCAGCATCCACTCCAAGGTACCTCTACTTACTGTTCACATGTGGAGCTGGTTATGTTTCCTATCTCGGCCTCGAAAGCTGCATAGATGTGAGTCAGCACGCTTTGCTCCTATGTAACACAATCATGTTGGTGCCAGAGATTCGTCATTATCCACTAACCTAGTGTGTATAGCGTTGACGATATCAGTATAATGGTTCTAGTGATGGTGTCCGGCATCTCTTGTGAGGACCATCAATTTCCAATGTGCCTATACTTTCAAATGCGTCCATGTCTACTTGGCTGTTCCTTATATTTCTCTGATATATATTTAAGCAACGACAGTCATCCTTATGACAATCACGCACGAAGAATATCTCATACCGGCCTAAACCAAGCTGGCAGAGAATCTGAGGACCTCCCCCCCCCCCCCGCCCCCCCCCCCACCCCCCCCCCCCCCCCCCCCCCCCCCCACCCCCCCCCCCCCCACCCCACAACCCCCCCCCCCCCCCCCCCACCCCCCCCCCCCCCCGCCACCAATTCTTTGACACCTCGCCCCCAGCCCACCCAAAGATGCAGTGGATTAATGTCTTTGACATTGACACCCAAAACTCAATTTGAATATAAGCGATATCCATAGACCAAGACAAAAACTGGTTGAAATTTCTGTCGATCGAGCATCTTACTAAAAGGGCAACATCTTACTTGATGATGCAAAAGGTTCACACTGGTCAAAGTCATTCCAGCAATAAGATTGACAAGAAGGCAACAGGACAAACACACAAATAAGCCAGTATTACATGTGCATGCCAAACTCAAGCCAGGAAAAAACACCTGAAAAAATCCAGAAACAGATCTACAAATGTATCATCCGTAAACGCAAACAAATTTTGTGACAATGACAGGCCCATGTTTTTCACAGTAACACGCTCTCTCTCTCTATCTCTCTATCTCACACACACATACCAACAAACTCAAGACTTACATAACGATCTCCTTCTCGTATGTGTACTTGAATGGCTTGCAGCGAGGAAGGTATCCTTCCGCTCCCTGGTGATGAAGACCGTATCAATAAAGATTATATCCACCATGTGGAACGCACACACTGAGAACAACCAGAGCACCAACAGACGGCTGGACATTGTACTGATGTGACCATACCATGTCAGCCTAGGTGACATCAGCATATCCCTGTGCCATCAGTGTAAATGTGCCTTTAGTTTCCAAAATTGTTGACCTCATAACTGTAGTTACTAAACCCTGTATCAGGTAACACTTGTACTACATTACTACAGAATATCCCATATTGATCACGTGCAAGTGCCATTCTGAGTGTCTTTACCAGTTTTGTAGTGTGCGTGAGGGGAGTAGGGTGTTCATCTCTGAGTCTGAGGCCTTAGAGTGGCATGGCTAGTGCTGTGACCATGGACCGTGCCAGTTAGGATTTTATTCTCCCATCCCCCCTCCCCCCTAAAGTATCTTATGACCTTACTAAGGATGCGAACCGGGGTCTCCTATAAAAAAGGGCAGCATTTCTAACTGTTCGTAATTGTAGGGCCAGGCGCTTCTCACTTACACCCAAACTAGTTTAGGTTATTACCTGCTTACACCCATGCCAGATTTCATCACCATCAGCTTACCCTAGCAGATGCTGAAATCATTACAATTACAACAGTTTTTCTGGGAATGAGTCCTGGTGTATCCTGAACTCTTGTACAACTAAGGTTCTTAATACTTATCACCGAGATGAATTCTTCATATAAATACTGCTTCTTCTTCTTACCCGCTGTAAATTCCAGTAGAAAGTTCTGGTTGTACTAGACTTTGGTCTTGTTCCACAACTAAAGTTTTGCATGGACATCCAATTTACAGATCTGACTTATATGTATGCAGACTATTGTTTCCTTGCCTCTCAAGCACCCCCTAATTAATTGCCTTTTAAAACATGCTTGTTAGGGGGCCAGTGGCCCTATTCTCCCCCCTCCCCCACCCCCACAATGGAGCCCTGGAACCTACATGGGAAAAAATTTAAATGATACAAATAAATACCCTTAATGGGAGTCGCGATAACATAGCAGCCAGACACTCATATGATGGCCCGTAGGTCTTTTATTCAAATCCACATCAATGTGAAATTTTTCTTTCAAAACTAACCTTGGCTTACAGGCTAATGTGGCCTAAAGTTGGTAGCAGGTAATGTCCTGTGAAGTAAAGGCAGCCAGCAAGATGCTGACCACATCACTTACTGATTCTACAAAAATATAGGTCCAGCCCTATATGCCCGATGCGTCACTGGCCTGAAAAGAGTCCTTCATTTTACTTACATCAGTATTTGGTTACAAGCAGGGCTCTCTGTTTCTGGCGGCAGGCAGTACTTGCACCTTTTTTTTTCTCCCAGGCATTATTTTTCAGCACTACTGTAATGGCACCTAGTAGTAAGGAACAGCACCTTATTAACTATTTGAGTCCCAGGGGGTTTAGCATCACAGGCCCAAGGGCGTAGAAAAGAGAGAGACACAAACGACACATCATGCATCCATTGGGCTTCTGGGTAGGGACCTATGAATGTATGATATGTTCCTTGGGACTCAAAGAGTTACGGCACTTTGTGGTGCGTACAGGCAGCTTTTTTTTCTATAGTTACACGTAAGCACAAACTCAAACTTACTGTAGTGATGGCAGTACACCTCCTCAGTCGGGCAATGATGTGTTGTAGAAACAGACAGAATATCCAAATGTGTGGAAGACAGAAAGAATATCCAGATGTTTGCTAGAGACAGAACAAATATCCAGATGTATGGTAGAGACTGAAAAAATATCCAGATGTGTGTTAGACACAACAAATAACCAGATGTGTGCTAGAGACACAACAAATATCCAGATGTGTGCTAGAGACAGAACAAATATCCAGATGTGTGCTAGAGACAGAATAAATATCCAGATGTGTGTTAGACACAACAAATAACCAGATGTGTGCTAGAGACAGAACAAATATCCAGATGTGTGCTAGAGACAGAAAAAATATCCAGATGTGTGCTAGAGACAGAAAAAATATCCAGATGTGTATTAGAGACAAAGAGAATATCCAGATGTGTGCTAGAGACACAACAAATATCCAGATGTGTGCTAGAGACACAACAAATATCCAGATATGTGCTAGAGACACAACAAATATCCAGATGTGTGCTAGAAACACAACAAATATCCAGATGTGTGCTAGAAACACAACAAATATCCAGATGTGTGCTAGAGACACAACAAATATCCAGATGTTTGCTAGAGACAGAAGGAATATCCAGATGTGTGGTAGAGACACAACAAATATCCAGATGTTTGCTAGAGACAGAAAGAATATCCAGATGTGTATTAGAGACAAAGAGAATATCCAGATGTGTGCTAGAGACACAACAAATATCCAGATGTGTGCTAGAGACAGAAAAAATATCCAGATGTATGCCAGAGACAGAACAAATATCCAGATGTGTGGTAGAGACAGAAAAAATATCCAGATGTTTGCTAGAGAAAGAACAAATATCCAGATGTGTGCTAGAGACAGAACAAATATCCAGATGTGTGCTAGAGAAAGACAAACATCCAAACTGCTAGATTACCAACAACAAGAGCTCACCATTCATGATGACAGTCTCTGCAACATCATCTGCATTATGACCTGAATGAAGACAGGAAATCAATTAAGGTTTTTTCTCTCCCTTCTGCTGACTTGTCTCCGTTTTTCTACTGACTTAGGTTGTCTCTCATACATGAGACAGACAGGAGATGTACTGCAACTGCCTGTGGGGTGAGGTAACGAGTACAAGAGAAGAAACTGAAAACTTATACCTAGGGAAAATGATGCAGTGGAAAGTATCTGTGGGCTCTGGGTGCAACTTGAGACTCAGGGGAAAGGCAAGATGAGTAGTCAATCAGATGACAACAGGTACCATCAGTATGCAGATTCTTCGCTAGCTGCTGAGGAGGGGGATGGAGCTAATATGGGCTTGTCCTGACTGCTGTGATGTTGAATCTGTATCTAGATGTGCATCAGACAGACATGTGGATTTACAGATAAGTAGGCATAAATGTAGACAGACAAGAGGATTTCACAGGCTGAGTTAGATACACTGGCAGGCAAGTAGGCCAACTGGTAGATAAATACAGATGAAAACAGACAACTCAGGCTTTGCACAGATAAGTTTTCACACACAAGTAGACAAACAAATAGACAGACACACTTGACAACAGAAACAAAATTACACAGACAGAAAGATATCATCATCATCATCAGGTGCCTTGCTGACTGGCGTGGGCGATCATGCCTCCCCATAATCTGCGATCTCCTGCAGCATGTATCAATTCGTGTGCCGACACACCTCCATGCCATGCAACAAGACTGTCAAGCATCTTCTCTCGTTGTCTTCCTCTATCTTTCCTTCCACATATCTTTTCAGTGGTCACAATATGTTCTATTTTCCCTCTTCTCATAACATGGCCGAAAAATGATGACTGTCTCCTTCTGATGTCTGTGATAAGTTGTCTTCGGGTTCCCGCCTCTTTCAAAACCTCTAGGTTGCTCTTTTTAGCTGTCCAAGGTATTCTAAGAATTCTTCTGTAAAACCACATCTCCGAGGCCTCCAAAAATTGTTTGGCCTGCCTACCGATTGTCCAGGATTCACAGCCATATGTTAAAACTGGATGTATGTAGCAAGCAAGAATTATTTTTCTAACTCTCAATGACAAGGATCTATTGCACAAACAGACAGGAAATCCACTAGACTAACAGACAAATAGATGTGCATGTATGTAGATGAGAAACAGACTGACAGGATGACAGACAGACATAATTTAAAATAACAAAAACAATTACAATACGAGACCACGCCACAAATGATAAAGCATCAATGGCAACCACAAACCTATTTTACTAACAGTGAAAAAAATGAAAAATACAATGGTATGGACATGTAACATAATCTATAGACCTCTCAACAATATTAAAGGGCTCTGCAGAGAGGAAGAGGAAAAGGTCCAAAAAGAATTTGGCTGACCAGACAGTCCTTAAATAAGCAAACATCAAGTCCACTGCTTCTGACTGACCACTGGGGAAGGAGCTGAACAGACAGTCAATAGCAATGACCCAATTTCACATGGGATTATGATGATGATGGCCCATAATGACAGACAGAAAGATTGATAACATGTAGGTAAACATACACAAACAGATATACACATAGTAAATAAGACAGACAGACACACCAACAACAACAATAAAAAAAACACAAAATGTTAGTAGAGGGACAAATCCAAACACAACATGACCGGAAAGTTGACCTCTGAAGTAACTTAAAATCATGTATACCTAAAACAGCTACAATAAAAAGAAGTAAGTGAACAAAACAGATTTTTAAAAAATGGTCAAACCTGTGACAATTTTTGTGGCACCGACTTTGATGGCTCCTCTGTCTAGAGCTTGTCTTCGAAACACTCCACAAAATGTACCTGCCACACAGATGACATCACACATCAATGATTAACTCATAGCTTATCCTCATAAACCCTTTAAAACAGAGATAATACTGTATACCAATCACAAATATGGCAGCTCATCAATCACCACCATGAACTAACACATAGACGTAGAGCTTATGAACATATTTCCAAATGTCATACATTTGATCTTTCTCTCAAATTTCTTATATTTGATTGCATAAAGACAGTTAACACTGTTTTAGATATCTGATGTATCTGTGTTATCATCATTATGTAGCAGGTCCTTTGCAGAACGTCGCTCTCATCACAGTCTGCCTGAAAGAAACCCGGTCTCTCTCCTCATGAACCAAGCAACCACTTATACCATGTGTGCATCTTCATGCTGGTCGGTCCTGCCCCTCATTCCTGGTACCATGCCTTCTGTTATTATTCTTCCAGTCCACTGTGGTACTTAATAGGTCAACATATTTTAGCTTCTGAGTCAAGATGCCGTTTATTAGCCAATCTTCCTTGACATTCACATCTTTTAGAATGTCTCTGTTTCTCAAATTCTTTGACCATGGTATTCTGAGGATCTTTCTATAGCATTTCAGCTTGAGAGCCCTTATTTTCTTCCTTAGTGACAGAGATAGCCCATGACTCACATCTGTATGTTGCACGTAGACATCAGAGATGCAGTTAGAAAGGAGTTAGCTGGCACCTTGAAAAATATGCATTATGAAGACATGATACAAGTGGAAGATATCAAACAAATTTTGAAAAAAGCAAAAGACACTGCACCAGGGCCTGATGGAGTCAGGTATGGTCACATGAAGGCTTTGAGCGATGTAGACCTGGCGGAGATGGCCGACTGTTTTAACCAGAGTATTAAGACAGCATCAGTACCGCAAGACTGGGTGCACAGCTATCTAATTCCACTACCAAAACCTTTTAAAGATCATTCTAAGCTTAGTGGCTTTAGAATCATCAACTTACAAAACACATTTGGGAAGGTCTTGGAGAAGATAGTTGCTGTAAAGTTACAAGAATTTTTGGAAAGGGGAAGCTTCTCCCAAGAGGTCTGGGAAGTTACAGGCCAGGAAAGGACACTTGGGCAAATGCGGCCACTTGTGCTTTTGACGTCTATGAAGGGTTCCAGAACAGACAGGAAACTATGGCGGTAGGACTGGATCTCGAGGATGCTTATAACAGAGTGAGATACGACATCTTAATGACTGCACTGAGGGAGAAGGAGGTCAATCCATGGCTGGTGAATTGGGTTGCAGCTGTCCTGTATTCACGTCGGGTTGCTCTCCGACTGGGCTCATGGACCTCTGAACCATGCACTTTGGCCCCAGGACTGCCACAGGGATCTGCGATCTCGCCTGTGCTCTTCAACGTGTATACGAGCAAGATTGCAAGTCTAGAAGCACCAGGAGTTGGAAGGATACTGACTTTTGCGGATGATATACTTGCATATAGGCAGGGGGAAGAGAGGGAGCAAACAGCCCGGGAGCTACAAGCGACAGTAGACAAAGTGACGTACAGAAATGAAGGCTGTCGTCCACCCGGAAAAGGCGTCTGTTTTGTGGTGGTTTCTCTGGACAACAGAATCGTTAAAACTAATGTCCCAAGTCTCACGATAGATGGTAGAGACGTCAACAGAGAGAGCAAACTGAAGTATCTGGGAATTACATTTGACAGGAGCCTGTCATTTAAGGACCATGTGGAGAGTGTTGTGACGAGATGCCAAAAAGGACTTAGTGCACTTAAGACTATGGCTGCAATTGACATAGAGCAGAGAATGCTTTTCACACTATATCAGCACCTGATCCTGTCAGTGGTGGATTATGGCCTGGGACTGCTTACCGTCTCAAAGAGTCAGATGGACAAACTAGAGCGCATACAGAACGCAGCTATGCGGGTCATTCTGGGTTGCACCAGAGACACCCCAGTGGTGTGTATGCGATACATCCTTGGTTTGCCGACGGTTGCAGGTAGGCACAAGGTGATGCAGGCGAAGTCATATCTTAGGATAGCTGCAGACACAGACCACCCTCTGCATGAAGCTCTGGGTGCAGTTAAGGGTCAGCGACTGATAAGAGGGAGGTCATGGATGGCTCAGGCAGAAGACACAATCAGACAGGTTTGCATCCTTGAGAACATTAGGTGAGGAGAGGAGTGGGTCAAAGTGCCACCTGAGCAGTCAGACTTGTGTAGAGTCATAATCACGCTGAGCCGGGAATGCAGAGACTGGCCAGCAGGTGCCACAGAGGTGGAAATTCAGCAATTAATTCAAGATAATGCTCGCTCAGAGGATTTGATCATTTACACAGACGGTTCAGTGTCAAGAGGCAGAAGAAGTGCTTGGGGCTTTTTAGCAAAAGTTAATGGTCGTTGTTTGGTGCAGAAGAGCCTAGCATATGATACCACAACATCCAGCTTAAGAATGGAGGTGGAGGCGGTCACTGCAGCTTTCCGCTGGCTAGAGAACACGACACACACACACACATTGTAATTGTAACTGATTCAGAAAGCATGATGAGGAAGATCAGAACAGGCATGCTTCGTGCAGAGTGGCATGCTTCGCAACAGAGGACACGAGTGAGGAGTATTGTGTGGATTTTTTCACCGGGTTACGCCGGTGTGTTGGGAAATGAACAGGCGGACAGACTGGCTGGCTCTGCACAACTTGGTGGAATACTGCTACATGATAGGGCAGACGTGGTTAGTGCCTTGTGGTAGAGCGTGTTCAATGCAGAGGAGCAGATGGATCACCACAGTTTGGTGAGATTGGTGCAGTTGGGGGTGACGAGAGGTTCTGGCAGAAGCTCAAGGCTCAGAGGAAAGGCAAGATGGACATTTAATCAGAAAGCTACTGGCACCATTAGTATCGGAACTCTTCGCTGGCTGCTGAAGATGGAGACGGAGCGCTTATGGGAATGCCCCGGGTGCTGTGATGTCGGTTCTTGAATCAAATCAAATCAAATCTGTATGTTGCTACAGGAAAAATACATGCTCTCAAAATGTTCACTTTGACTGAAATACGTGTGAACACAATGAAATATAATGTGTGTACACAATGAAATATGATGTGTGTACACAATGAAATATGATGTGTGTACACAATAAAAAATGAACACATGAATGAAACTTCACAAATACGAAAGCAACACTTACAATTGTTTTTGAGACCAACTTGTTTGACAATGGAATCCATACTCCAGCCATACAGGTCCTGGAAGAGAGGAGTAACACAGAGCACATGATTACATCAGACAGCAACATCTTAACTCTGCTGACCTGATAAGCTGCAAAACTTACACTTCTGGCTGGAGCCAACTCCCCGTTTCTGACTTGTCTACAATGATCTGTTTACGAGACATACAGGTGAATGCTATTGGCTGTGTTCATGCCTGCGCAAACATTTATGAGGTCAATATTTCAATATATTAATTAAAAACTGCATTTAAGGGGGTTCTCCAAATCAAATGGCTTTTCAAAAGCCAAGTTGGTATCAAATGTTCCCAAAGGCCTCAATAAGAGGTTACGGGTTCACGGTATGAGTCACCTGATATATATATTTTTTATGCCCTGTGGAATGTATTCCCTTTAATGCTTCACTCTCTTTATCTTCACTGATTACTCCTTTTATCTGTTTCTTCATGATCACAGGTTGTAATCACCGGCTGAAAATTCAAGTTGTTTATCCAACTCTAAACTTGAGTCATGTAGGAACTGCAGGAATTCAAGGAATTCTTTCAAGAATTTCCACACGGTCATAATCCAATTTTTTTAAACATGACCTCACTAAATTAATCTTATACATTTTACCTATGAGCTGTGATTATCGGTTATTGACTGAGTTCCAGATTCGTACACAATGGCAATGATGGGTGATGTATTTTTCTTCGTTTTGTTCCTGGAACAAGGCGTGTGCTATCGCTGCTATTTATTTGCTGGCCGTGGCCGAGGACATGTGGAGAATGGTCAGGATTAGTTTTAATCCACTCATCGCCCAGCTATTCGTCAAATGAAGTTGATTTTCAGCGATGACGCCTGGTCTCGCAGTGTGTTTAAGAAGGCGTGCACCTTATGGTTTGCCAGATCAAATCGTGTGTGTTTTGCTGACTGAGGACACTTTGTATGACTACGGCATTCACTTGAAGTATCCAGCGTATCTGACTCAGTTTGTGACTGGAATCACTGGCATAGGCGGTTGAGCAATTATGGGCCCAGCTCGTTTGCTGTGATGCCGGAACCGTAATGACTAACTAACTAACATTTTACCTCATAGGAGACAATGGTCAGTGGCAGCTCATACTGATGCTGGTTTCTCTTGACTGTCTGAAATAGAAACCAACAATATTTGGTCAACAATTTGGTCAACAAAGTGGTTAGCAGTGAGTCTATTTTTTCTTTCTTTTATTCAAAATAGGATCCTGAAACCTAGGCAGCGAATACAGACACCTCACAAATTGTGTACCTCTCTTTACTCTTTGGCTTTGATAATGTCTGTTCATGAATTTCTTCTCTTGAGTTATTAATTTCACTCAGCACAGTCTCTCAAAATTATTCATAAGATAATGGTCCCTGAGATGCTTGGAGAGATCCACGGGGAGGGGGGTGGTAAAAGCTGCCCAGTGTAAATGGGGTGAGGGTGAGCTCGGAAAGATCCAAAGATGTGGCAGCAGCCACAGTGTGATTTGGAGGAGGGGAAGGGGTTGTAGTATTAGGGTATGGGGCATACCACAACACAAAATTGGGCAGCAGACAAAATAAGCTTAGAAATGTATAGTCTACAAGTGTGACTTGCAGATTACAAGTATTATCTAGCACTGGTCACAACATGAATGGAGCTGAATTCTGTTAACCCTCTACAGTTTCACACGTTTCACATGACTGACCTCTAGAGAATCATCTCTGTAGCCAGTGATGCCTTCATCCACAGACAGCAGGAAGAGCTGCAGCCCATAGTTGTAGCGTTCGTTTAGCAGCTTCAGGGTGTAGGCAAGCACAGTGGAGTCTGAGAAACAAACAGGGTCAGTGTCAGAGGTCTACAGGTTGGGTCCAATCTGGCATGATGCAGAAATTGGCAAATAATTTTTTTTAAAGGGGTGACTGCAGTCGAGCTAATGTCACAAAATGCAACAACAAACACTTTGACTGGGAAGCTAAAGGTGCGCATACGCATATCTTAATCTTTCAACCAAAGCTTTACACAACAAATATATATATACTTGCCAAAAAAGAGCAGTTGGAAAGTTGTGCTGTGGTTTACAGCTAGGTTGGGACATCTGCCCAGTTTACCCAATAATTCCTATTTCAGTGAACATTTAATTAGTTGCCTTTCATGACATGCTTGTTAAGGGGTAGAAAACAGGGGTGACTGCAGTCAAGCTAATACCAAGACATTAATCCAGTCTCAACTGTGACGAAAAAGCTTAATGCAATGGGAAATTAGTTTTACTGTATTATTTTTAATTTAATTATATTTTAATGTTTATTTTATTTTATTTTATATTATTCATTTTATTCTATCTATTTTCAGTACAAAGGTTAAGGATCATTACCATTTGTATTTCTACTACTCTTTTATTCCTACTATTTTTTTTTATAGTCTTATGACAAATCTTTGGACCATCAGAGATGCAAATAGTTGGGAATGGAAGATGAGAAGCAACCATAAAATTTATAATCTGTTTAAATCACTACTGATCACTGGTGTCATGAGAGCTAACAGACTGAAATGGTTGGGGCATATTGAGAGAATGTCAAATGACAGAGAAGTAAAAACTGTATACATAACGGAGATGAATGGTCGTAGACCACGAGGCAGACAAAGAAGACGATGAAGAGATAATGTCCAGGCAGACCTGCAAACACTTGGTGTTACCAACTGAAAAGAGAAGGCCAACCAGAGAGATGAATAAGGCAGGTGACATCTGCAGCGATGAACCTCAAGGGTTCGGGATGCTGAAGAAGAAGACTATTACTTTTATGACAACTTTTCGAGCTTTAATTTATTCTATTTTATTTTATTAATTCCATATCACTTTTTTATAGGTGGGCACTGATGTTGTGCGTTAGTTCATGCCAACAAAAAAAAAAGCCCTGGCCAAAATGTGTATTTGTGTGTTTTGTGCATGTTATTCTGCTTTACCATTTCGTCGTCGAGGGGCAGCGGGCCTATTTTTACCCCTCCCCCCTAAATGGGCTCTGGAATTGACACCAGAGGGTCATAACAATATCACTTATAAAGCACAAACAAAAAAGGCAATGTTAGTAGAAGGACAAATATAAACACAACATGGTCAGAAAGTCATTAGGTGTATTGGGCATATAGGGCTGGATCTGTATTTTAAAAACCGAAACAGGACTTGGTGAGTGATGTGGTCAGCATCACGCCAAAGCTCCTGGCAGGGAACCTGTTTCTACTTGTAGGATGACTACAGAGCTATGGACAAGCCTTGACCTGTATGAACCCCGGTTTTGGTGGACTGTCACAGGTGATGATGCAAATCTACATCCAAGGCATGCAAATTGTTTCAGTCATATTTAGAAGCTAGCCTTGGAAACAGAAACATCACGAGGCAGAGGGTGACTGAAAAGAAGTTACTGACAACCTGAAACTTCACAATACCACAGCATACCAATTAAACTGCAATGCCCACTGGCATATAAAACAGATACTGACAAACTAACACACACATACAAAACAGAAAGAATATACACAGCAGGGCTATTCAACTGGCAGCCAGCTGACCAAATCTGGTCCGCGGAAGCACATCAAATAGCCCAAGGATCATTGCCAGTTGGGCAATCCTCCGATCAACGGTCCTAAATTATCGGGGTTAAAAACCTACCCTAACAGGGCCTCAGTGATATGTAACATTAGCTCCGACACAGATTAACAATAAAGCTCTACCGATTGATGACATGTCAGCTGTTGATGTTCTTTGCTTTCTTGTTAGGGTTGGGGTTAATTATATCTGAGTTCCCAGTTTCCAATAGTTATACTAGATGACCTACTGAGCCCCTGTTGGGTTGTTTTTACCCTCAATAATTTAGGACTGTTATTCAGAGGAGTGCCGTCAGCTGTAATGTATTAAAGATCTTTCTAGGCTGGGGCTCAGGACTCTAGCCCATAACAATCTCCAATTTCAACATTTTGGCTCCTGAGTAAATTTAGTTGAACAGCCCTGACATACGGAGTCAATCAGTACTAAGTGGTTGTCAGTACAAATATTTCCTTCTCAGCCATCACAATACACCGTGCTGCATACAACATCAAACTCACCTTTCCCACCCGATGCTCCGATGGCAACGGAATCACCGGCTGAGAAAAGATGCCCATCTGTGATGACCTGATGAATTTCCTCCTCAAATGCCCAAAAGAAGCAATCCTTACAGAGAGCATCCCCCTGGCAGATGACAGAGAGAAAGAAATGATTGAGACTAGTCAACTTCATTTTCCAGAAAGTTAACCTGGTCAACAAATGCCCGATAAGTTGGATGTTCCGGCCAAAAGTGCAAATATCGCAGCATTGCTGTAAATAGGCACACCGCAATTCTGTCACTTAGGTGAATGAAAATAAGAACTTCATTTTAATGTGTAGATTACAAGACGGTGAAGATTGAACAATATACCGAAATAATAACTTGGGATTTGGGGGTATCATTTGAGATTAACAGAAAACAGTTTTGCTTTACTGTCTCTGCAGTTAAAAGACATAGTGAATTCATTACTGTGAGATTAGTTATCAGTTGAGGTTGCAACTTAACTGAAGAAAGGTTGCTCCATTACTGTGCCAGTGGAAAGAGATATAACTGCTGTAATGCTACCATCAACCATTTACTCATACTGTCAGCTCCATCCATACCATTAACAACATCCCCTAGCAACGCCAGCGCTACCCACACCACAATCCGCTAGCACTCCTTAGCAGCTGCTTTCACATCAGAACAGGAAATAGCCGTCTTCACCATGACCTTGTTGACATGCTGTGATGTCTGTCTGACAGAAGTAATTTCTTTCTTCTTTGTGTTCACCAGCTGTACACTCTGGCGTAAAGTTCTGGTTGTTCGCCCACTTCTGGACTGCAGTCATGCTCCAGAACCTGAGTGTTGCATGTGCATCAGTTTTACAGATCTGATTCAATTGAATGCAGACTGCTGGTTCCTTGCCTCTCAGGCAGATGCACTCCGACTTCAAAGGAAGCTCCCCAGTTAGTCGACTCTTACGACATGCTTTTGGGGAGGCAGTGGGTCTATTCTTGTTTTCCCCACAATAGGGCCCCGGAACCCACACGGGGGTACAGAAGTAATGGGCATCCAGCTATTATCTCAGAAACTCATCCTACAAGTGGGGCAAGGATTATCAGCGGACTCGGGGCACAACCACTCTCATTCATTTTTTTTAAGGTACAAATGAACTGGCTAGTGGAGGTGGGAACAATACACAAGAGAACTGGTCATCAGCCTCATATGCCCAAAACCAAGTCCAGAATAACACATCTGACTAATGGATGGATTGAGGATCAATTTGACAAAGAACTCAACTTCTAGATAAAAATGTTGTGCCTGAAGCCAGTAAGAGAGAGAGAGAGAGAGAGAGAGAGAGAGAAAGAGAGAGAGAAAGAGAGAGAGAGAGGGAGAGAGAGATAGAGAGACCATGAAAAAAAAATAATGTAATGGGGGCGGGGGAAGATAGAGTTGTGGCCAGAGAGGGGAGGGTTACACAATACACAGGAGAATTCAGAATAATGGGTCGTTTCCCTGATCAGAAAATGACAACAATATTACGATAAAGACAACAGTCAGTCAGCACTAACTAAAATTAACTCCAATTGGTGGTCAGACCCCGCCTGGACAGTGGACAGGTCAGCCTGGCCGCTGGACAACTGACCACCAACACCACTGAAAGGTGGAACTGTTTAATCAACAAACAACACACCATGCTAATACTGATAGATGAGATAAGGATGGCACAAGAACAAGATGAAGTTGAGCCATGGACAACAACAGTAAACAGGATCCACTGTGGCACTGACCAAGGACTGGTCTAATAATAAACAAAGCGTGGACATTGTGTCGCATATTGTACACCAGATAACTGCGGTTATTTGGGTTGCGGGGCGCGGGAGGGGGGGGGGAGCAGAACTCTGCCAGACGTGTCTGTGTCACGCGGATAATGCAAGGAGTGAGGGATATGTTCATAGCGGTTGTAATGTTACTGTCCACTGTCTTCCACACACGTGTCAAGAACTCGACATGTGTTTACATTAGGGATGGGGAAAGTCCAGCCGGTGGGCCGTATTTATTTGATCCGACCCTCTGCCATGCGGAAGGCGCCTACTAGTACTACTACTGTACTACATATAATTTTAAAAAAAAACATTATAAAAAAACAAACATAACACAGATTACTGTGATCAGTGACAGAACTAACAATGAACGAGAAATCAAAATACTACTAACTACTAGCAGTAGTAGTACTAAAATAAGTACAGCAGTACAGTCAGTATGTATCAAGACTCACTAAGACTGTGTTGTTACCACTACCATTTAATTGTTTATCTAATTAATTATTTATTTATTACTTTACCGTTTTGGGCCTCTTCAAAATTGCATTTTTGCTACATCCTTCACATTTCCGAACCATACTGAAATATTCACGAATATAATAAACACCTACAGCCAAACTAAAGAGAAGAAACAGTCAACAACAAATGCCAGACCGCCGACTCAAGATAACATAAGAAGACGACTAGATTTCTAGTATTCTAGCCGTTGACGGCCATGTTGATTCAATCTTCTCTCCCATTGGCCCATTCGTTGTGTCGCACGGAACAAACAAGTCTTAAGTGGATAATGACCAAGATATAATAATCCAAGAATGATTATCATATCTTCGATGGGCAACATGAGTAATTTAAATGTTCCCCAAACACACATACAGACGCACACTAAACTTAATATACATAACACACTCTCTTCCTTCAGATGTCTCTCTCTCTCTCTCTCTCTCGGACACACACGAGAGAGAGAGAGAGGGGTTAGATTTGAGGTTAGGGTTACGGTTTAGGGGTTCGAGTTAAGGAGTTAACGTTATGGTTAGTTTATGGTTGAGGGTTAAGGTTTACGGATAGATTTTACGGTTAGAGTAAGGGTTAGGGTCAAGCTTTAAGTTAGGGTTCAGGGGTTAGGTTAGGGTTATAATATTAAAGGTCAGAGACCCTTGATTAGTAACAAAAACTAGTTTTTCAACCGTAAAAAAAGTTTTGAAACTCAAGGTCATCTCTGATGTCAAGTTTAAAAAAAAATGATGATGGAGTTGAACGTCAGTCAGTCAGTCGGCGATACATTGATTGTTCCCTCAACTACAAGGTCAGAGACCCTTGATTAGTAACAAAAACTAGTTTTTCAACAGTAAAAAAAAAGTTTTGAAACTCAAGGTCATCTCTGATGATGCCCACACAAAAAATGATGATGGGAGCTTCCTTCGAACGTCAGTCAGTAAGAGTCAAGGCGATCACACATGAGTGATCTGTAAAACGGATCAACTACACTCAAGTTTGGTCGGGACTGCAGTCCAGAAGTGGATGAACAACCAGAACTTTCCGCCAGAGTTTACAGCTGGTGACCGTGAAGACGAAGAAGATCTATCCATGCAATAGCTTCAGCAGTTCTATCCAAGTCATCACTCAGATTTCCATTACATCCGTGAATTTCCTACTTTTTTTTTGTCGGGAGAGAGATATTCCGACAGTTTTCTGTGAATTGCAAATTTGAATTTTCTGATACGCATTCCTGATTTCCATTCCTTGTGTGTGAAATTTAACAAAACGGAATTGTAAATAAAAGAAACAAGGGTCACACTATACACCCGATAGGAGACGACATTTTTTTTTTTAATTTATAGCCCAACCCAGGCTGTCTTCGGTGGCCTTAATAATCTAAAGCAGAGATTCTCGAACTGGTTGCCGCGGCACCCTGGCGTGCCGCGAGCATATGCCAGGGGTGCCGCGGCAGTAATCAAGAAAAGTCGGCCAAACATTGTGAAATTATTAAAGAAGGTATGCAGCTACTTAGGAGTTTAAATTTAAGTTGTCTTCAATCGCCGCTGTCGATAAGATTTTATTGTCTGTTTCACAGTCAGCCGTGTTTCATATTTCATAAAATGCCAACAGTTACGCTAAGAATTGTTCTTGTATTCATCTCGATGTGCGACCGATCTCTCTACCTGAATTCGTGCAGTCTATAAGTAAAGTTATGGTTACATTGTCTCAGCAGACGCCTGCGAACCTAAGCCATCCAAGTTGGCCTGCCTCAGTTCGTGGAAAGGCAACTCACGAATAAAAAGAAATCCACTGAAAACTAAGAATTATCATCCTAGTTACCTCACGTTGTTAAGCTTTTCATTCATCGCATAAAAGAACTGAACATGAATTTGTTAGCCCGACAAGGGTTCCGCGCCAAAAGAAGTTTGAGAACCACTGACCTAAAGGTAGAACGAGGTTTTGGGAGGTGTGCCTTGATGACTGTCATCCGAATGTGTTACTGGGTGTTTATCGCTCGTTGTATCACATTTTTTTAAAGGTACAGTATCTATATTTGCTATGTCAATATAGTGATATTTATTAAATTCTTTTTGGATCATCAGGATAGAGCGATATTTAGCGAATTTTTGTTGTTATCTATGATCATCATTATCATCTACCGTATCAGTAAGCGTGGGCTGTTACGTTTCGCCCTCTCACACGATCACCAGAATCACGGATCATGCTAATGTTCTTGTCAGAAGAGTTGTAAGTTGTGAAATTATGAGTGTTCATGGCATCTTGAAGAAAGTAGTTTACCATTGCTTTCCATCTTGGCAGTGACCGAACTAGTCGGGTGACTGTAGCTAATGTCACTATAGTGTGAACCTCTATCTACCGTCGGGGAACTTGCTACCATGACCAACAACTGTCTGTCGGCTGCTCTCAAATCTGACCAACCATCTGCGTCCCTGGTTTCTCAGTCAACATCGGCGACCGGGTCACCCATTGACTGACCTGTAGACGACTTCGTCGCCGGGCGGGACAGTATTTGGGTCTGTCTCCTTTGATCGCATCAACAATACAGGAGTCCTTTTCAGGGCTACTTAGTGACCAAAGAGCGCATGCAGAGGTCAGCTTTCCACGTCCACGCCACTAAGTTTGCCACTTGTGTAGGTCTTGAGTGCGACAATGGTTATACAGTGCACCTAACCTAGTCACAATTATAACCTAAAGCTACCATTTCGGCGATGCTGGTTAAAATTAGACGATATTTTAAAAGTGAAGCAACGAAAAGGTTTCAGGTTACCCCGGGTTTTTAAAAAAAAGTTAGTTGCATGTCCTTTACATGACGTCGCAGAACCAGCCCTAGCATTCTGTGGTTGTTCCTGTTTTTCTAGGCAAAGTTTGCGTTCAACAGGTCGGCTCCCGATACCCGGGTCCAAACTAACGCAACACGGGTTCGCAACATTGAGGAAAGGGGGTGGGGGGTACTCTACCATGCACTATGGTACCCCGCTGGCTTGAGAAAGGAAGGAGATGAGTTACTTCTGTTTACCCTTATCCCGCTACACAAGGGTGTCTATTTTTGTCATATTGACAGAGCTAGATTTACCAAACCTTTTTTTCCCCCAACTCTTTCAGTCCTGAACAACCCGAAGTGTGTAATCAGTTAATCCTTGGGAGTTTCTAGCCAACGAATAGTGTGTTATTAGTACGTTTTACCTTTGGTCAAACCATACTCTGGAAATCTGGCTAGCCAAATGGCCACTCCACTGTGTTTAGCCTCTCTCTGACATTCATAATTTGTGTCATAATTTTGTGGGGATTGGCTGCTAGATCTTCTGGTACCGAAAGGTCTGCCACACTGGTAGAGCGACATTTATCAAATATTTCTATGATGCCTTCATTTGACATATTGACACAGCGATATTTTTTTTTAAAAGTTATCTATAGCTGATTTTGTTGTAGGGAAAAGAAAACTATGGAGAAGACCTAGAGTGACCCTACGTAGAACCGTCATCAGCGAAGGCTCAACACTGGGCGTAACAAACACCCAAGGTGGCAACAAACCGTATGCAGCCCTAGGCTGAGGTAACAAATAAAGACAAGATCCCTTTTCACGCCTCTAGGTATGTCGGGTATATGGTATAGTTTTGGTATTTGGTATTCAGTAATAGTCTGATTGTGTTTCTGTTTTGCCTTTCCCTTGAGCGCTGGTCACTTTTTTTTCTTGCCGCACCATACTCTTGACATCTTGATAATCTATTTGCGCTTTCCAACCTCCCCTCCCCCTCCCCTCCCCCAGTTATGGCTCCTTGTACACAACAGGGGGTATTTATTCCCCCAGCCGACACGTGTAGTCATTCTGCTGAGAAACAACTGACCCATCTGCTTCGAGATACCAGCTAAGTGATTTTGTGTATCTGTGTAGTATTGTTTCATTTGTATGTGCTGATGAAGTCTCAATAGTTCACGTTTTGTGTGTATTTGTTATATTGTGAAACTTACTAATATATTTTTCGTTCGGTTTTAAATCCCACAAGGGGACAGCGCCAGTATATTTTGTGAGTCTGTTACAATTGCATTTTAAACGTTGTATACAAAGGATTGTATCCTTGTAAACGTTTTAGTTTCATCAAGCAGCTTTATCAGTCAAATATATAAACAATGCAACAACCGACAGTAGATATGTACACAATACAAAACAAAAAATCGTGCGCATGCTATACAACAAACACTGGACATGTTCATATGTATAACAATTGACATTTTAATGTTGCAAGTTTACTTCTCCGTTAGAACAATTCAAAAACTCCTTTTAACCAATGCATAGAGCTTCTGTATACAGCGGAAATGTACATTATGTAACTACGTAATGTGTTACCTGTTGTGATGAGGAATTGTGGCCATCTATACCATAAAACCTAGACAGCATAGTAGTGACGATACGTTGCTGATGCAGCTTGATCCCTCTCTCTGCCTGCTTTGTTAACTCTAGAGAAACAGTAACACCGTGTGTGTGTAATGAGTGTACGGCTTGCGTTGACAGGATGTGTATACATATGGTGTATACAACTGTATACGTATTTTCCTTGAGCTGAATATGTCAAAAATTACGGGTGTCTGTGTGTATTTGTTCATGACACATTGATGTGCGGTTATTAATTGTGTTTCTAAAACTGTCAGTGAGAGAGAGAGAGAGAGAGAGAGAGAGAGAGAGAGAGAGAGAGAGAGAGAGTGCAGGTGGGCGAGAAAAAGTGAGCAAGCGAGCCAGAGAGAGAAAGACAGAGAAAGAGTAGGGGTAGGCGAGAAAGAGTGAGCAAGCGAGCCAGAGTGTGTGTGAGAGAGAGAGAGAGGGGGGGGGAGGGGAGAGTGAGTGAGAAAGTGTTGTCAAAGACACAGAAGGGAGAGAAAGAAAGAGAGAGATAAAGAGAGAGGAGACAGCGAGAGACAAGGGAGGGACAATGGGAGAGAGAGAGAGAGAGAGAGAGGGGGGGGGGAGTGCACATATACTAACTTTCAAAACTTCGCAAGTGAGATAAACACATGTAAGAGCAGCAACTGTGTACACTAAACAAACATGATCTCGATCTGGTGCAAAGTATATATCAAAACGCCCAACAGGCAATGAAATCCAAGCTTGATAGAAACATGCTGTCAATAATATGAAATGATTTTCAGAAAAAGCTCCTTTACGTCTTCTTAATTTCGCATTCATCTTCTGTAAACTATAGCGGAAAGTTCTGGCTGCTCGTCCAGTTTTGGCCTTTGGTCTTGTTCCCAAATTGTATCTGTGTATGCACAACTGGTTTACAAATCTGGGTTTTGTTTATGCAGACATTTGGCACAGAGTTCCAATAACAATGGCGCCAGTAGCTGTCTGATTATACATCAGTCTTGCCTTTGGTCTGAGCGTCAAGTATAGATCAGAACCCCCCCCCCCCCCCCCCCTCGACATTTCTCGCTGCATCATTCTCACCAAACTGTGGTGATCCATTTGCTCCCTTCGTCACTCCCCGCTGCATCACTCTCACCAAACTGTGGTGATCAATTTGCTGTTCTGAATTGTACACGTGCTCCCATAAGACATTAACCATCATCATCATCATGTAGCAGGTCCTTTGCAGAACGTCGCTCTCATTTCAGTCTGCCTGAAAGAAACTCGGTCTCTCGCAAGTTTTCCCGCCTCATGTACTTTCATACTCAGGGAGTCACTTATATCCTGTGCCCATCTTCGTGTCGGTCGGCCCCTGTTCCTCCTTCCTTGTACCATGCTTTCTGCTATATTTTTTTTTCCAATCCATTGTGGCACTTGATACGACCAAAATATTTCAGCTTCCGAGAAAGGAGGCTGTTTATTAGCCAATCTTCCTTGATGTTAAAATCTTTTAAGATGTCAATATTTCTCCTCTTCTTTGTCCAAGATATTCTGAGAATCTTTCTATTGCATTTCAGCTCAAAAGCCCTTATTCTCTTTGTTAAGAACTGAGAGATAGTCCACAACTCACATCCGTATGTAGCCACAGGAAAGATGCATGCTCTCAAAATTCTAATTTTTATCTCCTTGTTGGTGCTTAACCATAGACTTTTAAAGCTGTTCAATCTTTGCATTGCTATGGCCATTCTCCTTTTAGGCCTTAACCACGTCTACTTTATCATGTATCAGTATTTTACTAAGTTGTGCAGAGCCAGCCAATCACCCCGCCTATTCACTTTCCTACACACCGACACAACGGAGAAAAGTTCTAGACGTCATGACGTGCGTTTAGGTTTCCTAGATTTCTCTAGAACATTTCTTAACTAGTCTCTGGTTGTGGGACAGACAAGTGCGACCACAGTCGGTCCTGTTACTTTTTTCGGGTGCTACCAGTAATGGTACATCACAGGGTGTCAGTTTTTGTGGTGTAGCCCGGGGGAAGATGCAGCCATGGGATGTGATAAACGACTCAGTTGTAAACTCAGCTGTAAGTTCCCCGAGCTGGACAAACAGCGTACGCAGGTACAAGGCATCCCCCATGGGTGTAAATGTCGAGTGCATTCCCTGGAAGTGAAGCCTGAAGAGATTCCCACAACACCGCTGGGTTCCGATTTGGGAAGAAGATAGGGAGAAACAAGAGAGCTCACCTCGCGTGGAGGAAGTCCGTGAGTCGGTGTTCTAATGCCGGCGATGGATAGTGGCATGACTGAAGGAATTGGCGCATGATGATGTGTGAAATGAACCATTGGCATAGTTGTGGGCGCGTAGGCAATGTTTGTAGGCATATCAGTTTGTTTATTTGGTGCAGCTTGAGAACCACTATTGTGACTTCCAGACATTCTTTCTGTGGAAGGTTTTATATGCGGTCTGTTGTTGATAGAGCCTCTTAGTGTTCCATTGTTTGAGAGCTCCGTTTGGGAACCTAATGTATGGCAGATAGGAGCCTGGACTCCCGCTTGTGTCGGGCCGTGGTTGTGATAGATGTCGCTTACTAGTTTTTTCATCTCCTCCAAAGAAGAGTTCAGCATAAGAATATAATTTTTCGCCAACAGAAGAGTTGCAATTTTGCTGAGTTTGCGGACAGATGGACCATGGGCGTAGGGCATCACCTCACGCAGACCATCCAACGCCGAGTTCAGATCATGCATCCTCTTCCTCTCCCGGCTGTTGACCTTCAGCCTTAGACTCTGCAGCTCGTCTTCATCCAGATCTTCAGAGGCAAGCTCCTGCTTCTTTCGCAGCTTGTATTTTTTGTGAGCACGACTTGTGGACTTATTGCGAGATGTCGCGTGACGGGATGACAGGCTACTGTTGATGGCTGGGTCTGATGGTGTGGGGCTGGTGGTGCTGCAGCTGCGAATGTCCTCATCATCACTGTCGTCGAATTCATCAACACAGATCAGTTTCTCTACTTCATCGTCATTGTTTTCATCATTTGTGTTGTTTCGGTAGGGTTGGTCAGTACCCATGTGGCACCTGTTTTGTTTGTAAGGCTGCTTCTGTAATCGATATTGATGGCGACTGTCGGAGTTCAACAGTTCCGATCCGCTGGTGTCTGCTTCTGTCGCCATGATGATCACAGCCTGCTCAGCCACCCGGGAGTACGCAACAACGAAGAATAAAAGACTTCGACACCTTAGTTATGGGAACTACCAGTGATGTTCGGTTTTGTGTCTTGCCAGAAACTCGTGTCTTTTACAGGTCGGTCTGACGTGTGACTGTCTCGTGCCCTGTGAAATAACAATCAGACAACATAAATTAGAATATAAAGATCGATTTAAGACACTTAAAAAAACCAGTCAGACAATAGAAAGTTAGCTTCAGTGAGATATACAACAAACCTAATGGCACAAACAAAATTGTATACGCGTAGAAATACATTAAACGTAGTGACAATATTTAAAAAATATATATATAGAGAGATTTGTTGTGGAATCCTGTACAGTGTATGCAACTATAAAGTTTTTGGCTGCTATTCAAATCCAGTTTCTTTACAGGTCCGTTCTGGCAACCTCCCTGTGTGGAATCGGGGACCCCATTGAAGCGATAAATGTGATTTTGAGTTGAATGGCAAATAAATATATCTGATATGACATGAAATATCTCAGAAGAGAACGTTTATTTGTAGCAGGGCTGGGGAGCTGCTCCCTAAAAACTATTGATTGCGGAAATCAGCTTCAGTCTGTCCTTAAAAACTATTGGTTGGGGAGGTTAGTCTGTGTCTGTCCTAAAAACTATTGGTTGGGAAGGTTAGCCCCTGTCTGTCCTTAAAAACTACTGGTTAGGGAGGTAAGCCTTTGTCTATCCTTAAAAACTATTGGTTGGAGAGGTGATCCGCCTGTGTTTGTCCTTAACTATTGGTTGTTGAGGTTAGCCTCTGTCTGTCCTTAAAAACTATTGGTTGGGGAGGTTAGCCTCTGTCTGTCCTTAGAAACTATTGGATGGGGAGGTTAGCCTCTGTCTGTCCTTAGAAACTATTGGATGGGGAGGTTAGCCTCTGTCTGTCCTTAGAAACTATTGGTGGGGGAGGTTAGCCTCTGTCTGTCCTTAGAAACTATTGGATGGGGAGGTTAGCCTCTGTCTGTCCTTAGAAACTATTGGATGGGGAGGTTAGCCTCTGTCTGTCCTTAGAAACTATTGGTTGGGGAGGTTAGCCTCTGTCTGTCCTTAGAAACTATTGGATGGGGAGGTTAGCCTCTGTCTGTCCTTAGAAACTATTGGTTGGGGAGGTTAGCTTCTGTCTGTCCTTAGAAACTATTGGATGGGGAGGTTAGCCTCTGTCTGTCCTTAAAAACTATTGGTTTTTTTTCAAAATCAAACTAGCTAGTTTGATTTTGAAAAAAAAAAACTAAACATTCTTTAGCCTGATCTCAAAGTGTCAAGACGTGTACACAGTATATGTAGAAAATGGCGCATTCAAAGTTCCATTTCTATCTTGGAAGATTTCCTAAGCTTGGGTAAGTTGATTATAGTTTACGAGTACCATAAATGATGTCTTTTTAAAGTTGGCCACTGCTGCAGAGAGGGCAGAGTCAGCTGTGTGATCGCACAGAGTTCGACCGTTCTTGATGTCCAGAGATCAGGATCCGAACCTTAGACCTTCCCCTGTACAGACTAATTAGTTGGTGCTCTACATAACCCACACCATTTGTAAAGATATTAAACCCTACCAGGAATTATTCTCTGACCAGTCAAACAAAGTTTTGTGTCGTATAACTGAACCAGGGAATTTAGGTCATCTTTAACCGGCAGTCAGGGCTAGACGCTCTGAGTCAATGGTGTGTTTGACACAGATTCAGTGGGTGTGTAGTGAACGGCCTGTGAAGACGGAATATATATAGGTACTAACTGTAAACATTGTATATCTGCGAGTGCAGATGTGAGGGTGGAGAGAGGATGATCTATGTGTGGTAGTGTCTATCTATCTCCACTATATACCTTGTTTTCTATCTGTTGCACTATGTTACAGACAGATAAATGAAAGGAGACATTGTCTCCTGTTCTTGAGAGTTACACTCTGAGGAATGGAGAAGGATAGCAGAGGTGGGAGCTAATGTGTGATTAAGGGTGATTACTAATTCTGAGTTCTTTCCTGACAGGATGATACCTCCTTAGAGATCAGGCAGACGAATCACAGTCCAGCCAACAACCACCAACCCATACCCTTCTATGCACCAAGCATAACCAAAAGTCCTGCCCATTGTGCCACTACCTCAACATGGCAAGAGCTTGCATGTGAGTTCCAGGACGAGTGGACAATTGCAGACATCTGTGTCATCAATCCAGAGAACCAGTCTTCAAGAGCTTTGTTGGGCTCTGATGCAGTTTTTGTGTCCTGACCTACGAGAGAGACTTGTTGGGTTCCTGTGCAGTGCCTGTGTCCTCGATGGTGAGGTAATCAGCTTGTACCAGATCAACTCGAGGCATAGGTAAAGACCACAATTAAAAGTAACGATGGTACAAGGCTTATATCTGACAGTGAGCAGAAGAAAACATTGGCAGAACACCTCCGAGATATCTTAAATAGACCAAGTCTTAGTCTTAGTCGAGGTTACAACTTCTCTGCAGTCGGGTTTACCCGTATTTGCTCCTTTCCTGTGCCAGTGAAAATCACATGAAATGTCTCTCATTGTCTAATTTGAAAAACTGGTGAACAGACAATTAGTCTCGGAACGATCCAGAAATATGAGCAAGCAGTAGATGCACATGGAGTTGCTGGAAGTGCCAACGCTAACAGTCCAAGTCCACAAGCACCAATAAATTTTGATATAGAAGCTAAAATTATTACTTTACCAAGAAAAGCATGATAGATAAATGATGTGGAAATCGGGGAAGCAATTAATTTATTTGTAAACAGTGAGAAAGCAGGTGATGATGATTTTATTGCAGGAAAGCTAAAAGCAGCAGATGAAGTCAACGTAAACAGAGTAACAAATTTGTTAAATAGAATATGCCCCCCCCCCCAAAAAAAGGGGGGGAGGGAGTGGGGGGGGGGTAGGGGTTAACCCACATCAGTGGTTAGTTGCGAATCCTTTACAGGACGTTGCAGAACCAACCCCAAACAGTCCCTGGCTGTTGTGTGGTTTTTCTAGGCAAATTTACTTCCAGTAGTTTGCCATTGCTTACTGGACAGTCGGCTTTCTTGATACCACTGTTGAAACCAACGCAAGGTGGATGGCCCACAGCTAGGATCGAATCAGGCATCCCGGCATTACGAAGCGTTCGCATCGACTTAGCCACAGAGCCTACAACCCACACCAGTAGAAGAAAGGAGTGACTATTACAATTCCAAAAGAAGGTAATCTTACTGGCTGTGTTATCAGTAATGTTAAGACTTTTTTTTTTTTTAAATTCTCAGTAGAATTAAATGGGTAGTGGACAAAACCCTGAGAGAACAAGCAGGTTTTTGACATGGAAGAAGCTGTGTAGATCAAATATTCACCCTAGTCTTATGTTACCCATTTTATTTTCAAAATAACACCTTTTAAAAAAATTTTTTACTATGGTAAAAATAAGTAAATTTCCGTTTTCACGCCTTTAGGTGCATAGGGACCATTGGAATTGGAACTCTTCGCTTGCTGCTGAAGATGAGGACTGAGTACTTATGGGAGTTTCCTGAGTGCTGTGATGTAGATTCTTAATTCAACATTTAGGCGCATCGGAAAAAGCACCCATTTTTTTTTTTTTACAGACGGTACTAGGTGGGCAATGTGGTCAGCTATACGGCGGTCGTCTTTACTTTCCCAGGACAGACATCCTGGTACCCATTTAAGGCTGGGTCGACCTGCGACGCCCCATACCACGACAAAAATCCACGCAGCCAGCAATGGGTCTCGATCGCGGTACGTTGGAATTGCGAGTCAAACTCGCAACGCCTAAGCCACAGACGCCGCTTTTGCTATGGTGTACCAATGAAAATATTAAATATTCTTAACGCAATGTACGAAGATTCATAGTGTGCGGTGGTAACAGGCGATGGTTTAAGTGACTGGTTTCCAGCTGATACTGGAGTGAAACAAGGGTGTATTTTATGTCCTCTGTTTTTGGCATAATCACTGACTGAGTGATGGGAAAAAAAACGTTGTGCAGGAAACGCTGGCATTGACTGGGTGGAGAACACACAGCTGATAGTTCTAGATTGTGCTGATAATAAGTAAAAAGTAAGTAAAGGATCCTTTTTCCACACCTTTAGGCGTATAGGGCATATAGGGCTAGACCAATATTTTTATAGACCAATCGGCACAAGATGGGCGATGTGGTCAGCATCACGCCGGCCACCTTGACTCAAGGCTGGGTCTACCTGGGAGCCAAGGTCATTTTTGAAAATAGTCCGCCAGGGAGCGAACAAACCACCTTCCGATCTGCGGTGAACGTCTAGCCGCTCGACCACGGGGACTCCCGTGCTGATAATACTGTTCTATAATTGTCCGATCTGTCTTCAATTGCGCCATAATAACAATTATTGCTATTGTGTGCCGAAAAACAAATGGATGTAAGAGTAGTTTTTTTAAACATGGAATGTATAAACGAATGCTTAAAGCGAGAACATCTATACATGATTAGTAGGGGGAGGGAAGGTGGGGGGGGGGGGGGGGGGGGAGGAAGGGCCACTCTCTCCAAAATATTATTTTGCGGTTCAAAAGGGGAAGGGCGGGGGGGGGGGAGCGCCTTAAGGTCACTGAGCCCTCAGGTGCCGGCGCCAAAGAACTTGATATTTTGATGATACATTCATAAGATGATCTCGTGTCGATCATTCGGATATAATATAATGGAGCGTTGAACACGTACTCATAAAATAATGACGTTCTGAAAATATACACACAAAAAAAGGATCTGCTGAAAAAATACGCATAAAAAAATAATCTGCCGAAAATATACACATGTTGAATACAGAGTCGCCCCCCCCCCCCCCCCCCCCCCCTCACCCTAAAAAATATATGTACACAGTAATCACCCAACAGTGAAATGCATAAACATTTTCATAGATCCCTGTGTGGGTTCCGGAGACCTATTATAGGGAAAACAAGAATAGACCCACTGCCTACCCAGAAGCATGACGTAAGAGTCGACT